TTTATAATCGGATTATTCTGTCCTATTCTTCTAGCTTGCCAGTACAGTATTATTCTGGCCATAAGACTTTGTACTTGCTGTTCCTTTGCTTAACACTGCTCTTCCCCTAGGTCCTCATGGAGGTGGTTTCTTCTTAAATTTAGCTCAGGTGTTCTTTTCTCTTTTCTTTTCTTTCTTTCTTTCTTTTTTTGAGACGGAGTTTCGCTCTTGTGCAATGGCGTGATCTTGGCTCACTGCAACCTCCGCCTCCCGGCTTCAAGCGATTCTCCTGCCTCAGTCTCCCGAGTAGCTGGGATTACAGGTATGCGCCACCACGCCCGGCTAATTTTGTATTTTTAGTAGAGATGGGGTTTCATCATGTTGGTCAGGCTGGTCTTGAACTCCCGACCTCACGTGATCCGCCCACCTCGGCCTCCCAAAGTGCTGGGATTACAGGCGTGAGCCAACATGCCCAGCCTCAGGTGTTATTTCCTTAGAGAGGCCTTCCCTGATTACTTATCCTAAAGTGGGAATTAGTGATCAAGTGATCAAGTTTAATGTCTTGCAGTGATCCAGGTGACATTCATGAGGTCTCAACTGAAGAAGTAACAATGGGGGTGGGAAAGAAAGGGACAGGTACAAGATAAAATTTAAAAAAGAATTGTGAGTGTGGTGGCTCACATCTGTAATCCCAACACTTTGGCATGCTGAGGCGGGAGGATTGCTTGAGACCAGGAGTTCAAGATCAACCTGGGCAGCAAAGTGAAACCCCATCTCTTAAAAAAAATAAATAAAAAATTAGCCAGGCATGGTGGCTCATTCCTGTAGTCCCAGCTACTTGGGAGGCTGAGGCAGGAGGATCGTTTGAGCCCAGGAATTTGAAGCTTCAGTGAGCTATGATTGAGCCACTGCATTCCAGTCTGGCTAACAGAGTGAGACCTTGTCTCAAACAAAAAAAAAAAAAAGGGAAGAAACGCTTACATTAAATAAAATGAATAAGCTGAGTGCGGTGGCTCATGCCTGTAATCTCAGCACTGTGGGAGGCTAATGTGGGTGGATTGCTTGAGCCCAGGAGTTTGAGACCAGCCTGGGCAACATGGTGAAACCCCATCTGATCTGCAGTTCAGTTGTATCTTTTAGTAACTAGAAGACGGGGAAAGGAAGGAGAGAAACAAAACGTATTTTAGACATGAACTGACTGTGTTTGAATGGCCCTCACCACCTTTCCTTTTAAAGGCATTCCTGGGCTTAGTTAACGGCCCCAAAGTACACAACACTACACAAAGTTACCCAAACAAGACATCTGCAGTTATTCTCCAACTTCCTTTTCTTTTTTTTGAGACAGAGTCTCAAAAAATACAAAATACAAAAATTAGCCCAGTGTGGTGGGGTGTGCCTGTGGTCCCAGCTGCCCGGGAGACTGAGGTGGGAGGATCACTTGAGCCTGGAAGGTTGAGGCTATGGTGACCCTTGATCATACCATTGCACTCCAGCCTGGGTGACAGAGCGAGATCCTGTCTCAAAAACAAGTCAGTCAA